TTACTTACGTGATCGGGATAGACAGGCATACAGAGAGACAGACAGACAGAGAGACAGAGAGACAGACAGACAGAGAGACAGAGAGACAGACTGAGAGACGGACGAACGAACAGACAGAGTAACAGACGAACGTACGCACGCACGCACGGACGCACACGCAGAGAAGGAGCGAGCGAGCGAGAGAAATATAGAGCGAGGAGGAAAGATAGCGAGAGAGAAAAAGCGCGCGCGAAAGAAAAAGAGAGAGATAGAAAGAGAGAGCGCGCGCATGAGTGGGAGAGAAAAAGAAAGAAAGAAAGAAAGAAAGAGAGCGCGCGCGATACAGAAAGAGAAAGTAAGAAAGCCAGAGAGAGAGAGAGAGAGAGAGAGAGAGAGAGAGAGAGAATGAAAGAGCGCACACTAGAGATCCATAGTTCGCCGTGTGCACGGATGGACACATTCTAAACCGTTACTTGTGCGTGTCATCAGACATTTGAGCTTCGACAAAAACTCATGCGAACTTGTCGCGTATTTGCAGCATCTCCCGCTGTGCTTACTCAGACTCGCTAGCTAGCTACGTAGTGAATAAGTCTTTAATGGCTTAGGTTTCTATGCTGGTATTCTAGTATATAGTTAGTCAAGTATACGTTCGCGCTCGTGCATATATACGCGCACACATACGCACACGCACTCGCGTACAAACATGCACAGGTACTAAACGGTTTTTTTGCGCGCGCTTTGTTCTAACTTTTGACGCGTGGAAAAAATATAATGAAGATTGCGATGTTGTCGTCGTGCTGTTTGAGAGAACAATGTGATTTTAAAATAACTCCCTTGTTTAAACCGACGCCGTTGTTAATAGCTTGCCGCCAGTCACGCGAGTGACAGTAATAAACGCGGTGCCATCCTCGCTTCTATTTATTAATCCTGATCATACGATTCCGCCGCCCTCATCAAAGCTACGGATCCGTTCTTTTTGCATAATCAAGATCAAGAGCTTATAATACCTTATTATTAGATCTTGTATATAATTAGCTATTGTATAGCTTTTGTATTACTAGTTCTTTTTAAGATGTATAAATAGACCCCGATTGACATTGCGCACATTATTAGTATTAAATGTAAATCTCGCTAAAAAGCGTTCAGCGTCACATTTCCTGCTCAAAATTAATTCAACTCATTCTCGTTGGAGAAGTGCCAGCAGGAGCGAGAAAAAAACAAGAAAATTTGTTTTTTATTCGCTCCCGATGCTAGCTATAACGTAATCAACTGATAAGTGAAATCTAATTATCCATGAAGCTCAACTAAAAGTCTTTGCGTAGTCAATCGCAAGCATTATTCCAGCAGGAATATACGTACGTGCAATAGCAGCAGGAGACACGGCGTGGAAATCAAATATCTCCAAAGCTGTAATTATAGTCAATATCCAGTCGACACACGGTCTGTGTTGTTTGACACTCGAGAACTCAAATTGTTCACGATTTGCGAACTGAAAAGCTCGCGTTCATAATCATAATATACGCTTTTGTTCATATGCAAGCGTTCGTTATAAATATATTCACCCGATACACGTGGATACATTGTGATACATAAGTGGGTATATATAACACAGGAGCCAAGGTTAGGCTATGACGGCCTTCAACTTCAAAGCGAGTAGAGATTTTTTTAAAGCCCGTGCGCACGTGCGTGCAAGCTTTTTTCCAAGACAAAATGTCCTCAGGTTGATATCGCCTCGCTTTTTGCCACAAATACTTACTGCGGAACACATTAGATTCGCACGCCCCGTCAATGGTCCCATAATAGCAATCATTGTTCGCCGTAAGTTTTTTGTTAGGTGTACCTTACTAAACTTTCTTAAACCCCCCCCCCACCAACCGCTCGCGCGCGCGCGCGTGATTGAATGACGACGTTCTATTCCCGCAGTCATCTGGAAGATAATGGAATCAAGGTGCTGACGTCAGGCGTATTCCGTGGACTGGAAAATCTGAAGAAACTGTGAGTGCTTCAGTGGTATTAAGTTTTAGCAGTTTGTGGGAATGGCGTCGCGCGTCGCTTTACCTCGTTCGTTGCAAAGCGTATCTTACAGTGCAAGTCTTACATGCACGTGTTTCCTAAACGCGTCTTATACGTGTCTCCTAAAAACGTCTTACACGTGTCTCCTAAACACGTCTTATACGTGTCTCCTAAAATCGTCTTAAGGCCCGTCTCCACACACGCGGCACGACACGACACAGCAAAACGCAGCGCCGTTGCGCTGAAAAAAAATACATTGTGATTTCGCGCATTGTGTCTGAGCGCATTGTGTTCACTCTGGTTCAGTGATCAGAAATTATGCATGTGCTTGTTGTCCATTGGCTGAGCAGAACACACACACACACACACACACACACACACACACACACACACACACACACACACACACACACACACACACACACACACACACACACACACAAAACGAAAGTAAACGCGATAAGAAAGGGGCGTTTCAATAATAAGTATACGTGCATCTCTTGCAGAGCTGGACGTCTACCCGAAGCAATGCACCTGTAAGCATCTCAGCTATATCTCGTGCATCGACCAAGGATTAACGAACATACCCGAACCGATACCCGCCAACGCCACCCGTCTGTAAGTATATCACGCGCATATCACAGCACTGCCTGCCGCCTCCTTCCGACCCCGTCCATTCTATCCTATTCTATTTCGTTCGAATTTATTTTGTTGTTATTTTCATTCCATTCATGATTCCTGATTTTGTTTTTGGGAATATTCTATGCTGTTCCATTTTTTTCTTTTCTATTAGTTTTACTAGCGCTATTATTTTGGTTTTTAGCACACGCGTGCGCGCACGCACACTCTCACGCACATGTACACGCACACACACGCGCGCATGGACACGCATACGTACACGCACACGCTCACGCACATGTACACGCGCACGCGCACGCGTACATGCAGACACAAACTTTGTATGTAGAAAGTATCGCACCTGCTAAATTCATTGCCGGCTGTGAACTGCGGCGTATTTGTAAGCGAACCACGAAAGAAATTCAAATTCAATAAATAAAGAAATTATTCAAGGATTTGGTCTTAATAATTTGAGTTAAGATTTCCGTTTTCACTTTTCTGGATAATTGCCCAGAGCGTGTCTTTCATCATCTTCACTGAATAACGCGCCATAATTACAACAACGAAATGCAAGTCTGCGCTAGCCGGCGGGTTGTGTTCGGCGACACGTCTCATGCATAAATATAAAAATAATATAATGTTAATGTAATATTGTTCCGCGAGCTATTATATACATACCGAACTCATTCTCATTTACGCCGTATGTCGATTTCTACTGCTCAATGGCGATAAATTGATGGAACTTTCGTTTGAGAAATTGCCGCCGCATTGCGCCGGAAATTATCGCAGTGTTATGTGGCTCCTGGCGCCACCTCTGGGCAATAACGATAATTACATCTTCTTAACCCTGCTTTTTCTCGGCATTTAGTAATAATCTCCGACGGTAATCTAATATTCATAAATTCAGCTTAGAAAATTTATGACAACTGAGTTTTTAGATAAGAAATGTATTTTAATGACGCAATTTTTCGCTGCCAACGAGGTAAACTTTGTATGCGCTAGCTTAGGAGCGCCTGAATCGGCAAGCATGGGATTAGATGGGTAATTTTCTCAAGGACCCGAATTACTCAATACGCTTGCCACGTAAAAGTCACTGTAATCCGCTCACACACATATGCTCGCACACACACGCGCGCGTGCACTCACATGCAACCCTCTCTCTCATTCTCTCCCCACTCTCCCCTCTCCCTTTCTCTCCGATCTCTCTATCTATCTATCTCACTCGCTCTCTCGTTCTCTCTCGCTTGTGCTTTTTTCTCTCCTTCTCTCTCTCTCTCTCTCTCTCTCTCTCTCTCTCTCTCTCTGTCATCTCTCTCTCTCCCTCTCCGTGTTGTTCTCTCATCTCCTGTTTCATTTCTCTTCTTCGCATTGTCTCTCGCATTTCTGTGTCTCTTCCTATCTACCTCACCTACTCTCTCGTTCGCTCGCTCGTGCCCTTCTCTTTCTCTCTCTCTCCTCTCTCTCTCTCTCTTTTCTCTTCTCTCTCTTCTCTCTCTCTTCTCTCTCTCTCTCTCTGTCTCTCTCTCTCCCTCTCCGTGTGTGTCTCTACCATCTCTCTCTCTCATTCTCTCTTCGCCATGTCTCTCGCTCTCTGTGTCTCTCTATCTATCTCACCTACTCTCTCGTTCGCTCGCTCGTGCCCTTTCTTCTCTCTCTCTCTCTCTCTCTCTCTCTCTCTCTCTTTCTCTCCTCTCCACTCTCTCTCTCTCTCACTCTCACTCTCTATGGTCCTTTTCACACTCGGTTTTTCTCCGAGTTTCTCGTTCGCAGAGTTCTAAAGGGAAATGCCATCTCTGAGATCAACAACGCAGCCTTCGAGGAGCTGACCAACTTGGAGCTACTGTGAGTGTAGCTCTAGAATTATATCCCTTCCCCTGTGGCCGCACGTGTCGCAGAGCGAAGGGCTATAGGTCTAGAGCTGCTACGAGTATATACCGACCAAGCTTAGTTACCGGGAGCACACCTGCGGTCCGCACATGCCGCTGTGGTGCTGTGTGGGTGTGTGGTGTGTGACTGTGTTGTGTGCAACCGCGTGTGCGTGTGGCCGTGCTGCGTGTGCGTGTGCGTCGTGCGTGTGCGTGTGGTAGTGCGTGTGTAGTGTGTGTGTGCGTGGTGGTGTGCCTGTTGCGTGTGCGTGTGCTCGTGTGCGTGTGCGCGAGCCCGTGTGGTGTGGGTCCGGGGCGCGCCCGTGTGACGTGTGTAGTGCTGTCGTGTGCTCGTGTGCTGCTCCTGTGTGTGTGTCCTGTGTGTGTGTGCTAGTGCGTGTGTGTGCGCTGTGTATGTGTTGTTGTGTGTAGGGTGTGTGTGTGTGTGTGCTGTGTGTGTGTGTGTGTGTGTGTGTGTGTGTGTGTGTGTGTGTGTGTGTGTGTGTGTGGTGTGTGTGTGTGGTGGTGTGTGTGTGTGTGTGTGTTTGTGTGTTATGTGTGTGTGTGTCGAGTGTGTGTGTGTGTGTGTGTGCTGTGTGTAGTGTGTAGTGTGATCGTGTGTGTGTATGGTGTGGTGTCGTGTGTGTGTGGTAGTGTGTGTGTGTGTGTGTGTGTGTGGTGTGTGGTGGTGGGTGTAGTTGTGCGTGTGTGTAGCTGTGTTTGTGCTGTGCTGTGTGTGTGCTGTGTGTGTGTATGTATGTGTGTGTGTGTCCTGTGTGTTGTGTGGCGTGCCGGTGATTGCGTTTTCTGAATGTGTTGTGATGTCGTGTGTGCGTTGTGTGTGTGTGATGTGTGTGTGTGAGTGTGTGTGTGTGTGTGTGTGTGTGTGTATGGTGTATGGACGGTGTCACGTGTGTGTGTGGGTGTGTTGTTGGTGTGTGTGTGTGTGCGCGTGTGTGTAGGTGTGTGGTGTGTGGTGTGGTGGCTGTGGTGACGCGCAGTGCGTGGCGCGCGTGTATGTATGGTGTATGTATGTCGGTGTGTGTGTGTGTGTATGTGTGTGTGTGTGGTGTGCTGCGATCCACGCCGTGCGTGTCTATGTATGTATGATGGGTGATGGGTCCCCAGCGTATAACGAGCGCGTCCTACTGCGCGCGTACGAGCGTACATGTGTAATACATTCTCGTCGCGTGCGTACACTGTTGTACATACAATTCGCTGCGTGCCGTACATGCGTGCCGTGCGTGCGTTTACCTACATTGTGCGAAGTAGGCGACGACGATGACAAATAATCACATTCGGTAGTACACCTAGAACTATAGACCGTCGCCGGCGCCGCGCGTGCTTACATCGGATAGATTATTAGCCAACGGAACGTAGTCGTCTCGTTCTGCTTAATTATCTACTACGTTACTTTGCTAGCGCGCGTTGGCATTAATAAGCCATTAAAGGCGCGCAAGCTCGGAGCGTATCGCATTTCGCCACAAATTTCCGGTTCAAGTTTCCGGCGAGATCGAGTCGTGGCGTTACATTACACGGACGGTTGTTGGGGCAACGGACGGACCGCGGCGTCTCTCTCTCTCTCTCTTCTCTCTCTCTCTCTCTCTCTCGTCTCTCTCTCTCTCTTATCTTTCGTTCTCTTTCTTATCTTCTCTCTTAGGGTGAAAAGGGGCAAGAAAGATGATTGGTCTATTTCATAGTGGTGTGCGTACATTCGTTCGATCCGATGCACGGGCGCGGAGTGTGCTGCGTGCGTGCGCGCCTGCCTGGTACGTGCGTGCATTCGTTCGTCCGGTCCGTGCGCTGTGCATGCAGTGCGTACGTCCGTGCGCGTCAGTGCATGCGTGCGTACGTCCGTGCGCGTGTGCATTGCGTCGCGTACGCCCGTGGCGCCTGCTGCCATGCGTGCGTGTATTGCTTGCGTGCTCCGTGTGTGTGCGTCCTGTGCGCGTGTGCAAGCAGTGCGTCGCGTTCGTGCGTGCGTGCGCACGCGCGTGTGTGGCGTTCGTGCGCTCTACGGTGCCGCTCTTCATTTTCAGCGCCGCATGACAACAAAGCCGGTTACATTATAGCGAACCTGTCGCTATTGACTGAGACGATGACAGCTGTCCGCCTACCGTCATTACACGTTTCCACGCGCTCTCTCTTCTTTCTCTCTCGCTCTCTCTCTCTCCTCCTCATCCTCTCATCTCTCTCTCTCTCTCTTTGCCTCTCTCTCAGCTCTCTCTCTCTCATCTCTCTCTCTACTCTCTCTTCTCTCTCTCTCTCTTTCTCTCTCTCTTTGCTGCTCTCTCGGTCTCAATTGAATTATCTTCACTTAATACATAATTAATTCACTTCCTGATAAATTAGTTTCTGCTTTTGATTCTCGTCCGTAACGTGTTTTTTTGCTGCGCGCTTTGTTCTAACTTTTGTACGCCGTGGAAAAAATATAATGAAGATTGCGATGTTGTCGTCGTGCTTTTGAAGAGACAATGTGATTTTAAAATATAATCCTTGTTGTTAACGACCCGTTGTTAATAGCTTGCGCCAAGCTCACCGCGAGTTGGACAGTAATAAACGCGGGTGCGATCTCGCTTCTATTTATTAATCCTGATTCATACAGATTCCGCCGCCCTCATCAAAGCTACGGATTCCAGTTCTTTTTCGCATAATCAAGATCAAAGAGCTAATAATACCTATAATTATTAGATCTTGTATATAATTACGCTATTGGTATAGCTTTTGTATTAACTAGCTCTTTTTAGAATGCTATAATATAGACCCCGATTGAACATGCGCACAGTTATTAGTACTTAAATGTAAATCTCGACCCTAAAAGCGTCCAGCGTCACATTTCTGCCCTTCAAAATTAATTCAACTCATTCTCGTTGGAGAAGTGCAGCAGGAGCGAGAAAAAAACAAGAAAATTGTCGTTTTTTATATCGCCTCCGATGCTAGCGTATAACGCTAATCAACTGATAAGATGAAATACTAATATCCAATGGAAGCTCAACTAAAAGTCTTTGCCGTTAGTCATCGCAAAGCATTATTCAGCAGGATATACGTTACGTGCAATAGCAGCAGGCAGACACGGTCGCTGGGACATCACAATATCTCAAAGCTGTAATTTTATCAGTCAATTATCCGCTAGTCGACACACGTCTGTGTTGTTTGACACTCGAGACTCAAATTGTTCACGATTTGCGAACTGGAAAGCTCGCGTCATAATCATAATATACGCTTTTCTTCATAATTGCAAAGCGTCTCGTCTATAAATATTATTTCACCCCGATACACGTGAGGCGCCATACAATCTGTGCATCACATAACCGTGCGGTATATATAGACACAGGAGCCAAGAGGTATAGGCTAGTGCACCGGCCGTTTCAACTTCAAGCGACATGTACGAGATTTTTTAAAGCCGTGCCCGCACACGTGCGTGCAAGCTTTTTTCCAAGACAAAATGTCCGCTCAGCAGTTGATATCGCCTCGCTTTTTGCCACAAAATACTTACTTGCGGAACACATTAGATTCGCACGCCCGTCAATGGTCCCATAATTAGCAATCATATGTTCGCCACCGTAATTTTTTGGTAGGGTGATACGCTTACTAACACTATTCTTAAAACCCCCCCCCCCACCAACCGCTCGCCATGCGCGACGCGCGTGAATTTCAATGACGACGTTCTATTCCCGCAGTCATCTGGAAGATAATGCCGATCAAGGTGCTGAGCGTCAGAGCGTAATTCCGTGACTGGAAAATCTGAAGAAACTGTGAGTGCTTTCCATGGTATTTAAGTTTAGCAGGTTTTGTGGGAATGGCGTCTGCGCGTCGCTTTACCTCGTTCGTTGCAAAAGCGTATCTTTACAGTGCAAGTCTTACACGTGTCGCTCCTAAACGCGCGGTCTTATTACGTGTCATCCTAAAAAACGTCTTAACACGTTGTCTCTAACACGCTTATGTGTCTTCCTAAAAACGTCTTTAAGGCCCGGTCTCCACACACGCGGCACGAACACGACACAAGCAAAACGCAGCGCCGTTGCGCTGTAAAAAAATACATTGTGATTCGCGCATTGTGTCTGCAGCGCATCCTGTGTTCTACTCTGGCTTCAGTGATCAGAAATTATGCATGTGGCCTTGTTGTCCATTGGCTGAAGCAGAACATCGCTGATAAAAAACAATTGCGTGATTGGTTCAATTGTCTTTTCGCCGCTCACGTCAGGCCGGCCAAAAGTCAAACTCATTTTGACTTTCGCCGTCGCCGTGAAACCCGGCTTGGCGCCGTGCCGTCAGTCAGTGGAGACTGGCCGCATAAGCACTATAACGATTTGAACTTTGCCGCCGTAGGGGTGAACGACGCCGGTTTCAGTGGCGTTCCGCATGCCGGCGCCGCGTGTGTGGCAGACAGACCTTTACACGATGTCTCTAAAACACTCTTCTTATAGTGTGTTCTTCTAAAACGCGTTTACACGTGTCTCCTAACACGTCTATATACGTGTGTCTCCTAAAACGCGTCTTATACTGTGTCTCCTAAACACGTCATTATTACGTGTCTCCTAAACGCGTCTTATGACGTGTCTCACCTAGGCGCGTCTTATACGCTGTCTCTTAAACGCGCCCCCCCTCTTATACGTGTCTTCATAGGCGCGTCTTATTTACGTGCTCTCCTAAACAAGTCTTATACGTGGCTCTTAAACGGTCTTATTACGGTGTCTTCATAACTGGTCTTAGTACGTCGTCTCCTAAACGCGTCTTATACTTGTCTCCAAACGCGTCTGATACGTGTCTCCTAGGCGCGTCTTAATACGTTTGCTCTCTTAAAACGCGTCTTATAGTGTCTTTCTAAACGCCGTCTTATACGTGTCTCACTAAACCGCGTCGTATTACGATGGTCCTCTCCCTAGACGCAGTCTCCAGTACGTGGTCCTTCCTAACGCGCAGTCTTATACGTGCTCTCCTTAAATGTCGTCTTTTACGTGTCTCTTAAACGCGTCTTATACGTGTCTCCTAAATGCGTCGTATACGTGTCTCCTAGACGCGTCTTATACGTGTCTTCTAAACGCGTCTTATACGTGTCTCCTAAACGCGTCGTATACGTGTCTCCTAGACGCGTCTCATACGTGTCTCCTAAACGCGTCTTATACGTGTCTCCTAAATGCGTCGTATACGTGTCTCCTAGACGCGTCTCATACGTGTCTCCTAAACGCGTCGTATACGTGTCTCCCAAACGCGTCTTATACGTGTCTCCTAGACGCGTCTTATACGTGTCTCCTAAACGCATTTCATACGTGTTTCTCAAACGCGTCTTATACGTGTCTTCTAAACGCGTCTTACACGTGTCTCCTAAACACGTCTTACACGTGTCTCCCAAACGCGTCTCATACGTGTCTCCCAAACGCGTCGTATACGTGTCTTCTAAACGCGTTTCCTCGCAGCGTGTCTTGCAGAGTGTGTATATATCAGCAGTGCACGAATAGAGGTGAATGAATATATCTATTCGTTTACTGCCGTGTATATATTTATATAATATAATATATATATATATATAACAGCGTGTTTTTCAGCGTGTATTCATGCAGTGTACGAATAGAGATGAAAAACGAACTCCATTCATGTACTTCTGTGTATATCACAGCGTATCTTGCAATCAATTGTGCCTTATGCATGGCTTTTACTTGAGCAGTGCGGGTGAATAAGTGAAGTCGATTAGTTTAAAAGCGGCAACTATACGTCAACTCAGGCATCTGCTTTTCAATCGCATGTTCAAGCTTCTGCTTTGCAATATGTGATTGACAGTCAGGCGTCAAGTAACTACAGACTTCATCCCTAAACATGGCTTTTACGGTCTTTACATAGCCTTTACATGGCCATTACATTGTATGGCCTTTACATAGGCACATACGGCCTTTACATGGCCGTAAAATGCCGCTGGACCCATAAATGCCATTTAGTTCTTTACGTTATATTTTTTACGCTGCGCCATCAGTAGCTGAGTAGCATTAAGCCGACTATTCATAGATGTAGACTGACTACGTACGTCGCCGAGAGCTTTTGAGCCTTAGTCGCAGAGGCTGTTGAGGTCCGTCTAAATGATAATCGATGACAAAGCGATTCCTCGGATCACACGAGCACTTTGCAATGTTTTGTTCTTGTTATTAATGTCGAAGGAAAGAATACAAAGGGGAGGTGTAATAGTATTAATTCACAGTGTGCGTGACCGTGCGTACCTAGGCGCGCACTTGCGTGTGCGTGCGCGAGTGTCAGTGTGTACACGCGTGCGTGCGCGGGTGCATGCATGTGCAAACCGTTTCAGCACAGAGCGAATTCACTTATCGACCACTCTTGTTTTCTTTCACCTTTCCATCCGCAGAGCTCTGGCGAAAAACGAATTGAGGACGCTACCGAGGGATATCTTTCGAGGATTGCATAATCTCGAGTGGCTGTAAGTATAATACGTCAGCGAGCGTATCGACGCTGGGCAGGCATCGAAGCGCATGCATACATACACGCGCAATCTCAGGAATAGAAAGATATGCGCATGCGGCGGGTTGAACGTTTACAGCAAATTGCAGACGAGCTTGAGGGAAAAAAACATATCATCCGAGAAAGTGGGGATGCCATGGAGAGGTTGCGTGGCGTGTTACGGGGAGATACATGGGGGGACAAAAAAGGGGATAAAGAGATGCATGAGAGAGAGAGGGGGAGAAAAAAGAGCGATACGAGAGAGAGAGAGAGAGAGGCGGAGCGCGACAGAGAGAGGGGAGAAGGATGACGAAAGAAGAGGGGAAAAGAACGAAGAATGTCGGAAGAAAGGGAGAGGTCGAATGAGAGAACAACAAAGAAAGAGAGAAGCAACAAGAGAGAGAAAAATTTGAGTAACGAATGACAGACAGAGAGAGAGAGAGAGAAAAAGAAAGAGAGTGGGAGAGAGATGGGTAAATAAATGATCAACCTAGTGGCAAACCTCTCCCCTGATTAAATACGGGCAATGCGTTAGCTTAAAAGTCCCTTAGCATAGTAAAGATCGCCAGACCGAGCTCAAGACGGGTGACAACAAAGCCTACAATACAAAAATCTCATATGCCCTATATTTTGCCCTATATATATATATATATATATCATACTAATATACTATATATATAATATATATAACTATATATCCTACTCTCTTTGTCTGGCTGCTTACTCCGACCTATCCGAGCTTTTTTTCGATCCTCCTCTTCTGCCGCCTCGTTTTTACTCCTTTATTTTTCGCGCTGTAATTTACTCATGTCTCGTTTTACCGTTTAGTTTTACTCCAACACCACACCCGACTGTACTCCCCTGTCTGCCTTCTATTATGCTCCTCTAATTGCTCTTCGTTACTCGTCTCGGTTTGTTTTGTTTACTTAGTCGCTTTTCTAGCATTTACATTTTTACTTTCACCGTTACTTCCATGTACTTTTGTTATTTACTCCACTCACCACGGCGTGGCATTTCCCTCACTCGGCAGCTTCTTTAGTTCTGTTCTGCTTCATCCAGCTTTGTTTTCGCTGCTCCCTCTCCTTACCGCTTACCTACACCACTGCTGTTGTCAGGCTCTTAGCATTCCACGTGTTACCACACCACTTGCTTTGTTACAGCCTGTAGATTACCCACACCACCTGCGTTCACTCGTCAGCTCCTTATTTACCACACCACTGCCGTTAAGTGTTAGTATTTTGAATGGGCTTGTGTGTCTGTCTTGGCTTGAATGTAAGTTTATGGCTGACAATGTACCGTTTATAACGTGATGCCTCAGCGTTTTCTTTAGCAGTTAGTACCACGTACGTGGTTTACGCCACACCTGCTGTCTTACATACGATATTCCCAATGCTCCTCATTTCCGCTTGACTTATCACACTTGCATTTATTGCAGACTTCATTCGTTTACACCCTCATGTCCCTATACACGCTCACTTCATGCATAACAATACCCCGGTTTCTGTTCCTCACATTTGTGGCCGGCTTATCCTCTATCTCTTTTCCATAATCATGCACGGCCTCTGCTGTACATTTACTTGCTTAACCCCCTCTGTTCTCCCCAATCCCTACATCACGTCTTCTCTCTTCTTATCTGTTCCTTTTGTCATCACCCATCTCTTCTCCACCACAGTGTATTGCCTCTTCTAAATACCCTAAATATCCGCCCTCCACACACATAACCGTGTTCGGCCCCCTGGGCTACAGGTTCACTGCTATTCCTTCCCTGCCCTCCACCTCCTGAACAACCCCACGGGCCCAGCCTCTCTTCCACCTACCCAGTCTCGTCCGGTCTGCGCACGCTCTCTCTCTCTCTCTCTCTCTCTCTCTCGTCTCTCTCTCTCTCTCTCGTCTCTCT